AAGTTGTTATGTATAACAGATTTAACACTTTGAATAGCTGTGATGTATACTGGTGAAATAATGTTTTCGCGCATTTTTAGCAACATGCTGAACTCGTTGGAGTCGGTTATTCGACTTGCGAGGCTGTACTTTACGGATGAATCGACACGAGAGATTCTGGAAGAACTTCGACCACTAATGTGCCCATGGGACAAATCATTTGGCCGGGCATTGCAGTGTCTGTGCCTTTTTTTGCCATGCTCGGTGCCCCCAGAACTTGGCTTCAAGCTGTGGTTCGACGAGATCATGTACTGGTGGTTGCATTTGCAGAACACTGTTTCGTGGGACACGAACGTCGTCAAGCTGTTTGCGCGACTCAGTTTGTACAATATCGGTCACATCAACTGGGAACCCTACCTGGACGATATTTTTACCCGTTGCCTCAGGTAGCAAACAGGCGCGTCATTTAAATGATTCGTTTCTTATATGTTGTCTTTGCAGGGATTTTAGCCTGAATATCAACGGAATACGCAACAACTGTCCTATCGCCGTTGGCAAACTCTCGGAAACGCACGAGGCAGAGGTGATGGCCGTTTGGATCTCGAACTTATTGGGTGGCCAAAGTAAAACGCAGATTCTTCTCGAAAAACTCATGGCTGTACTGCAGTGTTACTGCCATCCGTCTAATACTGGAAGGTAGGAAGTGGGCTTATATGTTGTTCGATTCTGATTTTGATCTTATCTTTGATTTTCACTTTAATTACCTTTGTACCAGTCAGATTTACTTGAATGAACCCTAAGGCACACGATCAATTGCAAAATCATAGATGTAGCAATCAACAAATACAAAGTAACAAAAGAAGCTGTTAAAAATGGATCTCTGTCCGCCTCACCAAAATGGACTCTTGTCCTATATAGCGGTTCTTCTCTTCTTACTTGGAATCGATCAGATATCAGACGGTATACGAAACGACTGACTTTCGATAAGCCTCTGTCCATCACCTGCAAGTAACATACACGGATTTTATGCTGTGAAATGCGCTGTTGGAAACACTGATACATCGAGTGAGTTGATTGGGTTAGAGTACAACTACTCAGAGCAATTGTTGTCTTTTTCGAGCATCTGTTTAGGATGCCCTCTACACTCATCGTTGTCGTTACAGAGTCGTAGAAGTAGTTTCACGGGGTTTCGAATGCAAATTAGCTGTTTTCTCTGAAAAGTGCTGAAATAGATCGGTGCAGCGACGAGTAAGGCAATTAGTAG